GTTTCGCTGGGTCACAACTAGGAATCGAGATATATCGATTTGAAGTTAGTAACTATCATATAGGGGAAATTGTCACCTTTGGTGGTCTTTTTTTTGACATAACTCGAGAAATACTAGTCCGATTTTGCTCAAACAAATTTAAAAAAATTAAAAATTACAATTCCTTTAATCTGTTCATATAACGTTTTTCTATATAATCAACAGTTTTGCCGGTAAAAATAAATGTATGAAGAAAAAAAATATTTTTTGCCTAAAATATTAAATTTTTTTATTTTTTAAATTCATAAAAAATCCAAAACGGAAAAAAAGGCAAGTCGTATTACTTTCACGCAAAGTCACATAACCTTTAAGCAAAATGAGACATAGCTCATGACAATCGATGGACGCGTTTCGCTTTTATTCCATCGACACGTATAACTTCTTTTTTACCGATATAACTTTCCCCGGTAGTTTGAACCCTTCCCGATCACTGACCCCTACCATTTAGGAGGGCCAAGAATCCTCGCTGTCCTATAGGATGAAAAGTTATCCGGTTATCGGCTGCAGCGCCATCCATTGGGTTCATTTTCTGTAAAACCATTGCTTACCATAAAATGAATACGTGTTATGAATTTCAACCTCAACTCCAGCGGCACTAATCGGGTAAATTTTTATCAAAAGAATTTTCCATCATACAGGTACATAGCTCACATTTAAAATTTGAACGAAATCGGTTAATAAATACGATTTTTATAAATAACTCTACTCCAGCACCACCTAGCGAGTTTTCTAGTAGCATGTAATTGGACCATATATGTATGTAAGATAACCTCCGACAATCTGACGGAACTCTATTCAGTAGTTTTTGAATTTAGTCCGAACAACGAAAACGGCTATCATTTTATGCAAATAGGTATGTAGATAGGACAGTTTATAGCGAAACTCGTGAAAGCAAAGCTCCATTCTTTGTTGAAAATTAGAAAAAAAATTCTTCAAAATTTTACCTTACTGAAAATTAAAGACAAAGTTACAATAGTTCAATGGGATTGGAAATCTAGGAGAAAATGGTTCCCAATCGTATGATACTTGCGCGTTTACGTAAATGTATATCGATCCAGCCTTTCCAATAATTACTACTTTTCGCCATAACTACGGTATTGATAAAATATGTAGCTGTGTATAATTTCAGGACGTTA